ATGATGAGTTATTCGAGGTTACCAGATTCGTTTTGGGGAATGGCGCTGGAAACAGCATCGTACATTCTGAACTTGGTTCCATCGAAGTCAGTTGATACTACTCCTTACGAATTGTGGAAAGGGCGTAGGCCAGGCTTTTCACATATTCGGGTATGGGGTAGTCCTGCACACGTGTTAGTGCAGGAACCTGGCAAGTTGGAGAAACGTTCGGAAGCACGAGTTTTCGTAGGCTATCCCAAGGAAACGAAAGGTGGATTATTTTATAGTCCCGGGGATCAGAAGGTGATCGTTTCGACGAACGCTAGATTCTTGGAAGAAGACTATATTATGAATCATAAGCCCGCGAGTAGACTAGTCTTAGAGGAGTTAAGGGGTGAAAGCGATGGTTCCCCACCGAGTGCGCAAGTAGATACATCACATAATACTGCAACACGACACACTGAGAGTGTACCAGTGCAGACAGTGCCTCGTCGCAGTGGGAGGGTTTCTCATTTACCCGACCGATGGATAGGTCTTGGAGAGTCGTCAGACTCAGTTCCAGGAGGCCTAGAATCGGACCCAAGAACTTACGATGAGGCACTCCAAGATAAAGATGCAGATTCATGGAATGTTGCAATGAAAGCTGAAATGGGGTCAATGGACTCCAATCAGGTCTGGGATCTTGTAGAACTACCCGATGGGGTACGACCCATTGGATGTAAGTGGATCTATAAGAGAAAGAGAGGATTGGATGGGAAGGTGCAAACCTTTAAAGCTAGGCTTGTTGCGAAAGGTTATACCCAGATCGAGGGTATTGATTATGATGAGACCTTTTCGCCAGTAGCTATGCTTAAGTCCATTCGGATTCTCTTGGCTGTAGCCGCTCATATGGACTATGAGGTCTGGCAGATGGATGTCAAGACAGCTTTCCTTAATGGGAACCTGCAAGAAGACATCTATATGCAGCAACCAGAGGGATTCATTGCTGAAGGTCGTGAGCATCTAGTGTGTAAGCTTAATCGGTCTATTTATGGACTGAAGCAAGCTTCGAGATCTTGGAACATCCGTTTTGATGAGGTGATCCAGTCGTACGGGTTCACTCAATGTCCGGATGAGCATTGTGTTTACAAGAAAATCAGTGGGAGCGTGGTGGTGTTTCTTGTGCTTTACGTAGATGACATACTGCTTATTGGAAACAGTAAGAAGGAGTTATCAGACGTAAAGGTGTGGTTGTCTAAGCAGTTTGATATGAAGGACTTAGGTGAAGCAGGACACATTCTTGGTATTAGGCTCATTAGAGATCGTAAGAAGAGAATGTTGTGCTTATCCCAGTCTTCATACATAGATACTGTCTTGGCCAGATTTAGCATGCAGGATTCCAAGAAAGGTATGTTACCTTTTAGACATGGAATACCTTTATCTAAGGAGATGTCTCCTAAGACGTCTAAGGAGATAGAGGAGATGAAGACAGTTCCTTATGCTTCGGCAGTAGGAAGTCTCATGTATGCAATGCTATGCACAAGGCCGGATATTAGCTACGCCGTTGGCATGGTAGCTAGATATCAAAGTAATCCAGGACGGGAACATTGGTCTGCGGTGAAGCATATACTCAAGTACCTGAGAAGGACTAAGGAGTACATGTTAGTTTACCGTGCAGACAGCTTGTTACCTCTGGGTTACAGTGATTCTGATTTCCAGTCAGATAGGGATGAAAGTAAGTCAACCTCAGGTTATGTGTTTACCTTGGGAAGTGGAGCCATTTCATGGAGGAGTGCTAAGCAGAAATGCGTGGCAGACTCCACCATGGAAGCCGAGTACATAGCAGCCTCAGAGGCAGCGAAAGAGGCAGTTTGGCTCAGGAACTTCTTAGTGGACTTAGAGGTTATACCGAGTTTGCCACGTGGTATCACCGTGTACTGTGATAACAGTGGAGCAGTAGCGAACTCAAAAGAACCTCGAGCCCACAGGGCAAGCAAACACATAGAGCGCAAATACCATCTGATTCGGGATATCGTTGGTAGAGGAGACGTTGATGTTGCCAAGATTGCATCAGAGGATGCATGGCAATAGGATCGACATAGGTCTTTTAGAATAACGGATTGATAGGACTATACTGTAAAAGCGAAAGCTTTAAGTATAAGTGGGAGATTGTTAGTGTTATATACTGAAAGCTTGGCTTTGCATGTTATTACACATTTACCCTTTATGAATGAGAATCATGTTAGATTAAACAAGTTCTACGTTCTGTTGTTCTGCACTTAGATAGGGTGGGTCGTCATCGGGCGAACCGAAGATCACTCTATCAGTCACTTGCGAACAAGAATAGTTGTTCACAACCTAGATGGACATGAACACCCCATCCGAACGGTTGTAGTGTCAACTGTACAGTTTGTCTTGACTGATTAGTTGCACTAGTACATTTATGTATTGAACAGGATCCCAGAGAGGAGAAGTTCATTTTATACTGATCGTCGTAAATGAACTAGGCCTCGGTTAATTACTGCGTTCTCTTAACCCGTAAGATATTAAACAGGCAGATATATATAATATATATTACTTTGATTCACATGGGTGAGGTTCAGTTCGCTGGATTAATATTCCTACTGTTTTGGGTAATATTATTATATATAGGATGTGCTGTTAGGATATTTACGGTCACCATGTGCGTTAGTTTGATGATGTCCCCGGAGTGAGTTCATGAAGGATTGTTATGCTAAACCCTGCAGGTGGATTAAATTCCGGCATAATAAGAATGTGATGAACGAGCGCTAGCTTCGGTGAAATAATAATAAATTAATTAATTCTTGATTGTCAGTAATCGAATTAATTAATGGACATTATATCTTAAACGTGGGGAGGTAAATCGAGTAATTATTATTGGAGTCTCAAATGTAATTTGGGCTAGGGAAAGGGAGTGCAATAATATAATGTTGGTGGCCCATTAATATTATTTAATTAATTAGAGGAGTGGGTTTGGCCCACAGTTAGTCTAATTAATTAAGGAGCCCTTTTCCTAATCTCCTTAGGGTCCCTACTGTAGCTCTATATATACATCATTAAGCTCATGAGAAGAGAATAGAATTCATTCTCACGTGAAACACGCCTCTCTCTCTAGATCTCATTCGAGCTTTATCTTCTTCTTGTTGCTCCACTGGTACAAGTTGAAGAAGGGTGTATTGAGTAATACAGTAGAAGATCTGTAGGTAAACCGAGACGAAATTGATTTTGACCTACAGAACTAACCGGAAGTCCGATTGAGACGTACAGTATACCCAGACGACCGTCTCGACGAGAGCTTTCCATCGCCGCCGACGTCGCCGGAATCCGACGCCGCACGCGCCCTCACGCGCCGCCGGAAGGTGTCTGGCAGCAAAATTTCGTTTTGATCTGTTTGCATCCGTTTGATCCAGTTTTGATCTGATCTTGTTCGTGCAACCCAAGACGCGTGTTGCGGTCAATCAATTGCGGTCAACCGTTCGTGGTCAACCAGATCTACATAAATTTTAAGCCGTAAGTTCTCTACGTCAAACCTTTAGATCCGCTGCGCATAGGTTTACGTTTGCTATTGAATTCGTGATTTGTACATAACGAGATCCTCACAGATCCCAACAAAACTTCCGTAGTATCATTGCAGTCGTTGCAAAGAATCCACATCTGAAGAAAAGAAAAAAAAAGGAACACCAGAAAAATGGTTTTACATTTTTTAAGTGGAAGTAACAAAGAATGAAAAATAAATATAAAAAAAAAAGTTGTAGATTTACAGTCACCTTCTTGTATCTGTATTCATCTGGCATCACAGTTGCTTCAATCTGTGCAAAACATAACATTTATTTATCAAATATCATAACATTTTACAAACTGCAGCTATTGACTAAGATCAACCTTGTACGTGATTGTAAATCACATGAAAACATTTGAAATGAAACTTTAAAGAATACATTTAGCTTTTTTTTTTTCCTTGAAATATTTTACCTGAGTAATCAACAATAACTACGATACAAACCAATGATCAAAAGACACAACATGAAAAGTATTATCATTGAAGCAAAAACTTAGTCAATAGATAGCTAGCACAATATTTCCAATAAATATGAAAAGAGTCGGAAATACTCCAAACTACAAATATTATGATGTGAAGAGGAAGATAATCATGAACGTTCAGTCCAACACTCACCAATGGCTGTCGAATATCAGCCGAGGACAAACCAAGATGTCTTCTCAAAGCTTCTTTGTTTTCTGCCTTGCCTTCGATATCATTGACACTATACTGAGCTTCTAAAAATGGGTCGGTTGCTGGGTTCCACGCATCAGTATCAATTCCATTTAAAATTCCAACGAACTTCTTTGAATGTGAATCAAGTGTTGTGTGTAGCCCACGTTCTCCCTGTACCTCATAATTAGGAAAGAATTAAACTATATGTGTCTTTCTAACTGACTTAATAATCTTATTCAGCATTTAATCAAACCAAAAAAAAAAAGGAAAAAATGAAGAAAGACGTTCATATAGTCATACCTCAGAACTCCGCACCTCTTGAGCATAGGATGGAGAAACAGTCGTCACAATATTTGAGAAGACTATTGCACCCTGAGAAGATGAGAAAGACCATGTCGAGAAAAGAGGCCAAACAAAAAAGATGGTAACAGAAATCAACACAACACATGGCCATAAATAGCTTCAATAGTCTCTAGTCTCTATTGGTAGGTACTAACTCACGAACACAGTAAAAACCTCACAGATATTCATATTTGAAATTTAATTTTCATTCTTTTAGAAAAGGAATGAAAAGCAGCAGCTAGTGAGATTTCGTCCAGCAAGAACCCATTCAACCAATTAATCAGCAAACTGTGGCATATAATTTATGTATTGAAGAAAAAATTAAAGATTAGTCGCCTATTTATCACCAATCTTTTTTATCTTTACAGTGTGGCCTGAGTAGCTAAATACATTGGAATTGTTGAAGTTGAAAGTAAAATGACCTTCCACGAACATTTTCAAATCCCAAATACAGAGTGATAGAAATTTAAGCTCCTGGATTTGTACATCAAGATCTTGCATTATAGGCTAATTAATAATAAAACAAAGACGCAAATTTCACATTTTCAGGAAAGACATTATTTAACCAATTTTCCAGTCGCAAATTCCACAACTTATTAATAATCATAAGTTTAAAGTCCAAACCAATAGCATTTACCTCTTCATATATTCTCTTCCAAGTCCCAGTCATGTCCATGATCGACTTGGAACATATTGGACAACAGTACCTGTAAATTTGCAAACAGTAACTACAAAAGAAAAAGAAAAAAAAAAAAAAGACTACAAAAAATACTTTGGTTTTGTTGGGAGATTCATATTAGCTTATTACTTCTCACGCTTTATCAGCTCATAATAACATTCACAATGCATCGTGTGACCGCATTTCATGACGGTTATATCCTTCAGAGAGTCGAACAAATATTGTCAAATGCAACAAATGCAGAGTGTTCAGACATGTAAGAGTAACATTTTCGAGAGATAGTGAAAATAAGCAAAAGGTGAAACCTCGTAACAAATTGGGCAATGATGTCTCATTGAGTTCTTCACACAAAGGTGATTGTTGCGCAAACTAACTGAATAACATGAGCCTGTGTAATGAAAATTAAAGAGTAGCTAAAACGATGATGGACCACAATAGTTAAATTTATAAACAGGAAGCACACAGAAAAGCGTAATAGTCAAAACGATGATGAACCACAATAGTCAAAACAAAAATCTTGTTTCCATAAACAATTTGCAGATCGAAAATATAAAATTAGTTCTTGGCCCAATTAAAAATAGAGGCAATAATCAAAATCCACAGACCCCTCTGAATTTCTTAGTTTACAAAACAAACAGAAACATTAAGAAGCCCCTACAAACCCATCTAAGATCTAAAACTTCAATAAAATATCCGCAGACAATAGCAACGGCAAACAAACAATTCAATTACAGTAATGACATGAAAATGATTTATGAAATATTCTCGGCGAAACACATAATTAAAATCTCGACATAATATACGAAAAAGACGCTGCCAATTTTTCCAGGTGATGAGAGCTCTCTTAAGGCATCATTTCCACTTATCAAAATCATATAATCGGCTGCATCGATCTTAAACATCTCTCTCAGATTTCTATACAAATGAAAAAAACACATTAAACTCTAATAAATGCAAAAGCAAATATGAGTTGGCATGAAAAGCAATATAAACTTAGCCCTTTCTTTGTTCCTCCTCACCTACAGGAGCTGAAAACCAATTTGCTAGAAAAGTTTGCTACAAACCTGAAAACCATGGGACAATAATCTTTCCACTTGAAATCTTCAGATTGGTGCGGAGGCGTGAGTTGCGACCCCTATTTAGGAAAGCTCATCCAAAAGCTCGCCCGAGGACCAAAATCGGCAGCCCTAACTTCTCTTTTATGTATGAGAGTAATTTTCCCCACCGTATATCTGCTCACACAAAGAAAATGAACTTTCAGCAACTTTACTAAGCAAAATATACATAC